GGTTCTGATACTCGGTCTTACAGTAGTGAAGGAGTTGAAATTCTAAGTGAGGAGACGTCTTGCAAGGCAGTTAGGCCACTTACATTGGATGGATTACTGAGGTTCTTTTTTGAAGGGAGCTTCCTTTAGGAAAATTTGCTATAAAAAGTACAGATATGCTCCCAGAATCTCTGGCTTCTTGTTTGTCACGCTCTCTCCTCACCTATGTGGTCTCCTTATAAGGACATCCACAATGTCGTGACACAGATATGGAGACCTTATCAGATCACAAAGTGGTAGTGACATCTAATCTTCAAATTTCAGCATACAAACCTAAACTAATCATCCTCTTTAGTTTGCAAAATTCCTTGTGTCTTATTATGGCCACATAAAAAGAATGAATACAAAGAAGCATAATTATATAATTTTTCAAAATTTTTGAGGCTGTCAAAAGATTTTGGATATATTGTCCTATGTGACAAACCAATCTAAATATATGAAGAAATTCATTGAAAAGGATTACAAAGAAAGATACTACTCTGCCCACAAAAGAAAACTTTTATATTCACTGAAACCAACAATTAAAGCCAAAGGAAGGGCCAGCCAAATAGCTCAGCAGATTAAAGAGCCTGCAAGCAGACACAGGGCCTGGGGGTTTGATCCCTGGGCCTGCTATGCCAGCCCTGCCCACAGGTCATGCTGAGAAGGCAATTGAGACTGGGCATGGTGGTGTGCGCCTGTAATTCCAGCTCTTGGGAGGCTGTAAGCAGGTGGATCACTAGGAGTCCGATCTAATAGTGAGACACTGAATACCCTGTAAAGCCTTCCCCAAAATACAAAAAAAAAAAAAAAGTCAAAGGAAACCAGATAAAGATGAATTCTCATCCATCAAATTGTTTCCACGAGAACGTGAGCTAGCAGTTCTGCACATAGTTATGTATGTGCAACAGAATGAATACGTAAGTGGGTAGCAGATGCTGGGTGGCACGTCTTTCCCTGTCGCACTAGGAGTGTAGAGATTTGCAGAGAGAAGAGGCTCAATGGTCCATGTGGTAACGGATTAGAATTGAAGATATTAATGTGACCTCATACTTGGTTTAATACAAATACAGGTGGTTGGGCACAGACATACTTTTAACATATGTACATGTTAAGGTGAAGACTTATGCACGCATTTTTCTTCTTCTGTTAGCTAAAATGGCCTAGAAGTATGGCGCCCTTGTAGCAACACATAGACCAGCACTCAAATCTTAGTTTATGACATCATTCTTCACTTGAAAAGAAATAATAGAACTTTGAGAAAATGTCTAATTCCAAAAATACACAAGATGAGACTGAGCATCTTTTGGCAACTCTATTAGTTATTATCAAAAATGCCTACAACATTCACATTCTAAGGAAGGATGATTTATTTCAGCTCTCAGTTTTAGCAAATTCACCCCGAGTCTTTTCACATGGCTTCTGATATGCTGTGGTGCGGTGTGACATCAAGACAGAAGTGCGCAGTGGCTTCATCCGTAGGATTCACGGCCCGAGGGTAAGAGAGAGAAAAGGAGGGAGCCACCGTGTCCCACCAGTGTTTTCCAAGGCGTGGTCCCCAGGACCTGAAAGCAACTGCTGGCTCCCTCTTCTGAGTATTTTCACCAACTCCTAAAGCACCAAGATGGAGAAAGAAAACACTAGCTTCTGGGGAAACACGTCCCAGTGGGGAAATCTAAAAACTATTTTCAGGCACAAAACAAATGGTTCTGAATTATAGACTACACTTTAACACAAATATGTGAATTATGTACAAAAGTAATTGCGTACAGTAACAAATAAGAAAAATAGACAAATCCTCTTGTAGAAGATTTCTCAATAATTTATGTGAATGTTCTCAAGAGAATGGAAAATTAACTTCCCTTCTATAAGTGTGGGTTGTCTTCAATGACTTATTTCTAAAGAATTGGTGATTGGTTTTAGGTATAGTAATGATTTAAAGGTCTTTACATGGGTCCATGTGACAAATATTCAGGTGATCAAGTTAAAAATCAACAGTGATAGGTCATTTTGATCATACCTTCACCTAGGATGATGAAAAAGGAATTTTTCCCCCTCTGTCGTCCTCCTCCCCAAAAAACACATGGCCCCCAGGTGGTCATGTAGAAGCTATTACAAAAAAACTGACAAAGAGAAAATAGGCAAAATATCCCAACTGCACATTTTGATACGGGCAGAATGATAAAAACAATGAGTATTAGAAATTGGTAAACCAAGATAATTTTAAAGAAAGGTGATTATCAAGTAGAATGCTGTCTCTTGGATGTGATGCTGAGACAGGAAAAGGATATTAGATAATAAAGAAAAGAACCTGAATATAGTATGAATTTCAGCTAATAATGATATAAATATATTGATTATTTATGTACAATGATCATATAAATATAAAATTATGTTAAAGGAAAACTAGTTATAAGTTATTTGCAAAGGTTTTCCACTGTCTCTAGAATTTTTTGTAGATTGAAACCTATTTGTAAAATAAATTTTATTTTTACTCTAACAATAATTCTACATGCAATGCTAAAAAAAAAATCAAACCAGAGTTGTAAAAAAAGAAGAAAAGAAAAGCAATTGTCAATAATGCTTAAAGAATGTTAGAGGGCAGGCCAAATAGCTCAGTGGACTAAATCACCTGCTTAGACAGGCACAGGGACTGGGGTTTCATCCCTGGGCCTGCCTGCCTGGCCTAGCCCCCCATGCACACTGAGAAGGCAGTTGAGATTGGGCCTGGTGGCACAAAACTGTAATCTCAGCACCTGAGAGGCTGAAAACAGGAGGCTGAAAGCTATGAGTCCGATCTGTGTAGAGATCCTGTAGAATCTGTATTAAATACACAAGAAAGAAAGAAGGAAAGAATGAGGAAGGAAGGAAGGAAGGAAGGAAGGAAGGAAGGAAGGAAGGAAGGAAAGAAGGTAAGATTTTGTGCTCATATCAACTATGATTTCAAAGTGGTTTGAGTGTCCACACCAAGAAGTTCATATATTGGAGGCTTGTTCTCCAGGTTGATGGTTTTGGGTAGGTGGTAGAACCATTGAATTGTAGGTTCTGGGGTCACTGAGTGACCCTCAGATGGATTAAAGCAGTTCCTATGAGACATCTTACATGGGCTCAGAAACCTGCTGTTATAAAAGCTGAGCCTGTTCCGATCCTGCATTTTCTCCTTATCTGACTAGTAATATACTTCCTCCAACATACACATTTCTGAGGGGATGTGATTCTTTGGATATTAGAATCTCAGTCTGGGAAGAGAGCTCAGTAGCTTACACACCTGCCTGGCAAGACAAGGTCTTGAGTTTGATCCCCAGTACAAAAAGCAAACAATATTAAGGTCTCAATCAGCCTGAACCAGAGGGGCCAGCAATCTTGACTTGGAACCTACACAGCTTAACTAAACCTCCTGCTTCCTTTTATAAGTAGCTTGCCTCAAGTATTTTCTTGTAGAGGAAAAAAAAGCTTAATAATACATATTCTGCATATATATATAGAAACTAAAAACCAATTACCTATCACTGGAATAGAGAAGATAGAAACTTATCTATTACACTGAATCATGGGTACTATGTTTAAGTCATGGTATTTAAAACACAGTACTTAAATATAGCACTTAAAGTTGAAAAAAAATTAAATCCAAAAAGAGTAAATATGTCTTATGCAGCCATATATATTATTCAATGAGGGTTAATTTATCTGAAAAGTCATAGGAAATCCTTTTGTTATGCTGGTTTCCACAACACAAATCTAGCTATGAGGATTGTCTTAGTTACTTTTCATTCGTTGCTGGGACAGAATACCCAACACCCAAAATGATGGAAGGGAAGGTTTATTTAGCTCACAGTTTGTGGAGGTTAAGTTCATACTCCGCTAGCTCCAAGGCAAATGACAGCAGTTCTTGGGGACTCAAAACAAGAGCAGAGGAGGAGCAGCAGCTGCGGCGTCCATCAAGCCTCTCTCCCCCTTCTACACAGCCTGCAAGACCCGCGCTCCTTGGCAAAGATCGGAGCTACTCCGAAGTGGCGTGGCTGCGAAGATCAAGCTCCTTGGAAGTGGCACAGCTGCAAAATGGCTCGACAAAGACCAGGACTTCTCCAAAGAGGTGGGGCAGGGCGGCAGTGAAGCTGGCCTCAACTCCTTTATATACACGTTTTATGCTGCTGAGTTACTCTGGGGCAGCCCCCTGGCGTTCCCTAGAGTGGAACCAATCGTGCCCCAGGGCAGGCTCTCCACAGTTCTGAAACTGCTGGAGCTCATTCAGCCAAATTACCATCAATAAAATTTATCAACCACCACAAAGGTGCACTAAGAAGTTTGCGAAAGTAGTATGAAAGATGAGAAGGAACCAATGGCAAGCAGCTGTGTAAGAGACACGTGGCTGTAACAGCCCAGGCATCACATTTTCTTGCAGTGAAGCTTTGGAGAAGTTATGTTTCCAGTGTGTGGGAAACTCTTTCATTCATTCCAATCAGTTTTCTTCCTCCATTGATATGAATTCCTAGGGAGTTTTCCCTGCAAGCTATTTTGAACAATCTGTACAAATCATCTGACATGAATTTTTCATAAAGCTCCTATGGAGCAAGCCCACTGAAGCCAGAGAAATGCGCAGAAACAGGAAAAGGATCAGTGGAAATTTGGGAAGAACACTAATACTATGCCCTGAAATTTTTGTAGAACATGATATCAACACTTAAGTTTGGGTAGAACCTATTCTTCAAAGTAACTATTTAGTAGAGTAAGGGTGGCAGGTAAAACTAATACATGTTCAAAAACTTTGTAAGGTTTAGAAATTCTGAAAAGTGTAATTGCATTTAATCCTAGTGAGAGATGTCTCAGCAAATATGTACTCTTTAGTTAAAAAAAAAAAAAAAAAAAAAAAAAAAAAAAAAAGACACTGCAGTGTCCTACCAAAAGTTATTCTGTATTTGTCCTGTAATAAACTCTTAAAAACTTCTAATTACACACATACAAATTTTAAGCCATTAAATTCTGTGCTCACTTTGACAGCATATATCTTAAAATTGGAGCAAATCAGAGAAGATTAGCATGGCCCTGCATAGAGAAGATGCAGAAGTTCAGGAAGCATTCCATGGCTTTAAAAACATGAAAGAATAAATAAAATCTGAAACATACAATAGATACAGTAGAATGGAAAGAAACTGAACATAACGAATAAACAATTGGATGAGGGAGAGGAGAAAAGGCAGAAAAAAAGGAAAAGGCGAAATTCATGTAAGTGTATACACAGGATGGTTAAAATGATTATATTACTAAGTTCAATCAGCTTTTTGAAAGTCATGGTCAATGTTTAAAAGTTTTACTTTGATCAGTTTTATATGCTAATATCTGTAATCTATGCAACTACATTGAAGACAGCAATGTGCGCTATAACTACAGTTGAATGCATTTCATTCTGTTTTAATAGATGTCTATTGGCTTCAATGTTTTATGCACTATTATTATATACAATTTTAAATAAATGAAAAATAAAAAGGGCAAAAGACAATGAAAAATGGTAAGGTTCATTGAAAGGAAGAGTTAATGTTTAATCGTGTAATCAATCTTACATGCCTATATTTGGAAATCTGAGCAACAAATTTGATGATAACAATATGTAATACAAAACCATTGTTAATTTTCTATTCTTGTTTTGAAATTCTGTACCATTTTTATGGTTTTATGCTGCTTTCTTATTGTCTGTTTTTATCATTTGTTTTTTTCTCTTTAAAATATAAAAATTACAGTCAATTTCATTGAAAAAAAAACTGGTATTTTTCTGTTTTTCCCTGTGTCACTTCTCCCATATTCCCTCCTCTTTAATCATGCATGTATCACACATAGACACATATTTACACACCAAATAAGATATTTATCATATTTTTAACCATGTATTCAGTGTTACCAGTATTCAAAGAAATGCAGACTAAGTAAATAACAGCTTGTTCATTTTGTATCTTAAATTGTCAACCAAATCTTAATAATACTCAAATCCCTTTGGTTTTCATAGTATTGGCCACTCAAAGGCGTTGTCACTGATTACCAAGTTTTATGTGATAATTTTGTAATATCTTTAGAGGTTTTAGTGTTATTGAACTATGTATAGTGCTGAATAGTATTACAACAAATTGTCTCTATATGGAGAAAATGTAGAGGTCACTTCTTTCATATTTCACTTAATTTACTGGTGAAATTAGTGACTATCCATTGTTTCAGAAATGAGCCAGGCATGTTAGTCAGCTCCCTGACAAACAAATGCTAACACCCACCTTCTACAGGAAGAACAGACTGGCTCATGCGTGGGGAGACTCGTTCCATAACTGGCTGGCTCCAAAACGAGCATCGTGGAGGACGGATGTGGCACCGCAGTGCTGCAGAGCCCATGGTTGCCTGGACTCAGAGTAGAAGACAGCAGCACAAGAGGCAGCCCGTGAGCCATTAGCCACGTTCACACCCCCGTAACCCAGCAGGATGTACCCACAAGTGTGCTTTGGGGGGCAGCTTCCGAGCTAATCAGTTCACACAAATAGGAGTACCTGTTACTTCTGACTCCTTGGCAACTGGACATCCAAGCATATCTCAAACCGTTACTTAATTTTGAGCTAAAGACAAAAACATGCTTCTGTTAGGGATAAGATGATAATACTACTATGAGTACAACGAAAAATCCAATAATTCTTTCCAAAAAGTCTCATCAGTTTCAGCATCTTTCACATGTCCAGGCCAAATTCTCTTCTGAGATATAAGGTAAACTCTTAGTTATGAAACTCTATAAAAGAAAATAAAAAACAACTTATATAATCCCAAGGCACAGTGGCACAAGGCAAACTTCTCCACCACAAAAGAGAAGAGGGAGAAAGAACAAAAATGAAATCAGACCATCGCAGGAGCAAAACTCAGTCAGTCCCACAGGGCGGCCATTATTTCCAGGCAATGGCCTCTCCCTAGAGCTGGGCCCAGTTGTGATATTCTCTCTTTTAGTCATCTTTCTCTTTTCTGGGACAAAATGCCTAACACCACAACCTGAAGGAGGAGAACTTTAATGAAATGGAAAGTCAAATACAGATTTAAAATCCTGATGTAATTTCAGCACATTAAATATCAGGCTGTGAGACACCGTTCTATTTCTGCATTGCTGAACTTCGATATCTGTAAAATACATGGCTACATTCTGCTGTAACAGGAGAAAAAACCCTGGGAGCTATCCTTTGATCTCACACCCAAGTTTTCCTCTTTCACCTATAAATACAAGGAGTACAGAATATGCATTTTCATGTAACTTACTGCTACGACTATTTTGTCTACTTTTGTTTCTT